TAATCTCTCCTGTTCAGTTTTAATTCTGATGTTGCTTTCAGTTTGCGTCTGTGTTTATGTCCACTTTGCATTGTAATTTTCACCTTTCTTTTTTTGGTCAGTGGGTACTTGTAAATAGTAGACTAACAACCTGTTCTGAGCAGGAGGAAGAGAAGTGTCAAAGAGGTCACCAAGCCCGCTCACAGACTGATATATGCACCTGGGATGCCAGGTGGGTCCAACAGGAAGGATGTTTGTGGAAACTTCAGCTGTGGGGCCTAGATGCTTCAAAGGCAAGGTGTGTTTAGGGAACGCCCTGTGGGTGGCCCCTCAAGAACCATTGGTTTGGGATGTTTAGATTTATCAACTCCCAGTTCAGACCTACAGCCGCTACACAAATCAGTGGTGGAGGGAGTGTCCCAGTTTCCCTTTCAGCTCAATCAAAGTCTGAAGGCATTGAACACCTGTGTGGCCCACATTGCTGCCATTTTGATTTTCTATGTGCCAATGATTGGCATCAGTATGGCACATCGATTTGGGAGACACCTTTCCCCTATTATCCACATGCTGATGGCCAACATTTTTTTTACGGCCCCTCCACTTCTCAATCCTGTTGTGTATAGAGTGAAGACCCGGCAGATTCGACAGAGGTTATGCAACATTTTCCAGTTTAAAAAAAGTAGGGGTTGATATTTATTTTGAAATGCCTTTTATCACAGAAGGATAATTATTTGATAAAGTGGTTTAAAATTAGGGATGGGTTGAACCATATCTCCTCCAGAAGCCTCTCTGTCTGCTTCCCATTTCCATTTCTTATTAAATGGCTCCCTTTCTGCCGATCTAATGTGCTTATTCATACTATCTTCACCCAGACACAAAGAAGTTAGCATGTTTCGGCCCCAAAGTCAAGATTTGTATGGTTTGCAGAGACACAGCTAACTTCATATAGATCCCATTAGACAACTGGATTTTCTGTGGGCCTTTCCCCACAAATATTGTGCATTTAATGTGCTTGTAGTAGTAACTCCACTTTTAAATGTGAACAGAATCAAATTTCTTCCCCATCTGGGCACATCTCCTTTGTCTACCCTTATGAAAGAGAGGAGCACACAAAAGATCTCCAGAACATCTGGAGCAGAACTCCAGGACTTTGCTCAGGAGCTTTAGAGATTTCCCAGTAATCTACAAGAGTATGTGGTACAACCGCTTAAAGATGTAATGCATGAGATTTTAAATATTGGGAAAGTACGAGAGTCTTGGGCAGAGGCCTATATCACATTGATCCCAAAGCAGGCCGATTTCTCTATGATTATGAATTATTTTCAAGGGGTGTTAAAGGGTTTAATTCATCATGAACAGGCTGGTTTTTTACCAAGCCACCAGGTGAAGGACAACTTAAGGAATATAATTGATATTATAGGATATCTGGGGGCCAGGAATGAAAAACAAGCTGCATTGATGTTTATAGATGCAGAAAAGGCATTTGACAATGTCTCATGGTCATTTATGGAAAAAAAGATAGAAATGATGAACTTTGGAGAGGCATTTGGTAGAGGTATTGAGGCAATTTATTCAGACCAACAGGCTATGTTGATTGTCAATAATGTGGTGACTGAAAAATGTAAAATAACAAAGGGGACAATACAAGGGTGTCCCCTGTCACCGTTATTGTTCATTTTAGTGTTAGAAACATTGCCAAGGAATATCAGATCAGATGAGACAATAAGACGAATAATGGTAAAGCATATAAACTGAAAGCTTTTGCAGATGACCTTCTGATTGCTGTGGAAGATCTGAAGAGTAGCATACCAAGAGTATATTTCTTATATTTCTCTATAAGGTCAAAGGAAATGCAGAAACCTCCCCATTGTCTCTGTCCTCACAAATCCTGCCTTAAGGGCACATTTAGGATGTTAATAGGGTGAGCCTGTCACCTGGCTCAGGAATGAAGTATTATCATTACAAAAGAATGCCCCCAGGTAATCCAGTCAAGTGACCATTAACAGGTAACCTGACAGACAGGGTAAAACCAACACATTCATATTTCTGTTGTAGACCACCTTTTCTGTGATGTATGTATGATGTTTCTGGGTGTGGTCTTGGACTCCAGGACGGGCAATTAAAAATGTCTCTATTAAGGGCTTGCATGCATGGCTCGGGGTCCTCCTCCTCTCTAATGTGGGTGGGTGGAGAACCCTGTTGCAACAGTTACAGATAGGTAGCTGTGTTGGTCTGCCATAGTCAAAATAAAAAAATTCCTTCCAGTAGCACCTTAAAGACCAACTAAGTTAGTTCTTGGCTCTTTTGTTGCAACAGTTAATAAAGAACAGGCTTACTAGCTGCTTTGCTTCTCAATATTCTTTGGTTGGTCTCTATTATTTTCTCCTACCGATAGAGAACCTACAAAAAGACTCTATATGGGCCCTTGGGTCCATATACCACAAGACACACCTAGTTTTTGGAGGAGGAAAACAAGACACACCTAGTTTTTGGAGGAGGAAAACAAGAAAAAAAATATTCTGAATCTCATAAGCCAGAACAGCAAGAGGGATTGCTACGCAGTGAAAGCAGCAATCCCTCTTGCTGTTCTGGCTTCTGGGATAGCTGCGCAGCCTGCATTCACTTCATAAGACGCACACACATTTCCCCTTACTTTTTGGGAGGGAAAAAGTGAGTCTTATAGAGCAGAAAATATGGTACTCTCCGCCTTTTTTCAGGGCTGTTCAGTCCATTCACATTCCAGCTCAAGACCTGCAGCGCCATCATGTGGTTACTTTGGTGCCCCACCAACTGCCCCCAAAACTTGCTCCTCTTCTGTTGGTGTTGGTGTTGGCACATTCGCTGGGGGGGTCCAATCCAAAAGATAGTCTCGTTATGTCCAATGTTTCCCTGTTTGGTGATCTTCTCTCCAATGCTCTTTGCTCTGATCCTCTATCTGGTGATCTGTCCAATGCTGTTGGCTCTTTTCCAATTCCCTTCTGTAGGTCTTCTTCGTATTTATGCAGAAACTTTATTTTATCTTCTACTGATCTTATTTTTATTTTCCTTCCTTTGAAACTGAAGGATAGGCCTTGAGGAAATTCCCACCTGAAAAGGATTTTGTTCCCTCTCAACAAGGAAACCAAATCTCCAAAGTTGGACCTAAGGTCCAGAAGATGTTTTGGGATATCTTTAAAAATTTCCACTCTTGATTGATTTATTACCAAAGTCTTCTCGTAATGCCAGCCCAAAATTTTATCTCTCTCTCCTTTAGACCGGAGGGTAATCAAACAATCTCTTATTCTGGTTTTCTCCTTCTTCCCTCCTCTTCCCAGTCTAAAGGCTCTCACAATTCTAAATTCCTCTTTTTCCAAATCCAAGTCCCAATATTCTGCAAATTCCTCCGTAAGATAGTCTATCAGGGAATCTTTTTCCAGTTCAGGTACAGCTCTAATTCTCAAGTTTGTCTGTTTTTCCTTAAGCTCAACCATAGAAAGCGCCAACCTATGGTCCTCAAGTTGTTTTTGAAGGTCTGGGACTCTCTCTGTTTCCAGCTGAGTTACCTTTGCTTCCACAGCCACAACCTTTTCCTTAGCTTCCTCTGCGATCCATCGAGTTGAGTTAGACTCCTGGATCAATTTCTCAATGGCTTCTGTATTTGAATTAACTTTTTTGTCCCATACTATTTATACTTTGTGTATTCTGATCTAATTTTTTGTTCATTTGTTCCAGTGATTCATTTATTTTACTCAAGGCAAGTGCCAGGGCCTCTTCTGGAATCATTCCCTTTGGTTTAGTTAATACAGTCACAGAAGAAGCAGGAGGGCCGGATGTGGAAGCTCTTTGCCAAACCTTCCCAGACCTTGTTTTGTCTTGGATTGGCAAATCTATTTTTTCTTTTCCATCTGCCATAACACTTAATCCTTTCAAGGCCAATTTCACAGTCCCAGAGTCTTATTTTTGGTGTTGGAAAATTCCAAACCTTGTAGCAGTTTCAAAGTTTTCCTCTAGAGGGAAATGGTTACTGTTTATATTATATTAGTCCAAAATGTCACTTTTTTTCCAGGCCACAGTTGCACCAGTATATTTAGTATCAAATCTCAGCTATTTATTACTCAGTTCCTTTTATTTAGTCAGAAGAGGATAGTTGAAACAATGTATCACTCTTGTTTCACTGGCTGTCAGTGAGCGGTCTATTCACAGTCTATGCAGAACTCCAAAATACACCAGTCTTAATGATATCTCATTCCCAGGTTCTGAGCGATGGAAATTTAGCTTCTTTCCCTCTCTTTTAGCAGGCAAATATTGTCCAAAAGCTCTCCCCCCTCCTCTCCTGCTTCCAAAGGGGGGTTTGCTATTTTTAGTGCTGGTAATTTAAACGTTGAAAATAAACTTTCCAAGGCTTTAGCTTAAGCTTGTTTGCTTCCGACTATTTACAAAAAAGGGAGGCAGACTTCCTGTTTTAAACCTCCCCCTGTTCATTGCCAAATTCGACTTTTTGAAACTCCAATACTTCACTTTACTCACTGGTAATTACTTTTAGATCCAATTGTCAACAGGAAAAAGTCAGCGCTCTCCGGCAACGGCTGTGCGGCTTCACTCCGTGGAAGTAGCAGTCGCTTCAAAGCACCGCGCCACTCACCCCACTTCGCTCCGGATCCCCGAAAACGGCTTTCCCCGCGAGTAGGGGGGGCGCTGATGGTGCCCGCCGAATCCCACGTTCACAGGCTTCACCCGCCTGTGATTTTTGAAGGGTCCCCGCCTTTGCCGCAGCGGCAAGACCCAATTCCCACGGAGCGGATTCCTTTGATTCAGAGGAAATCCGCCATTGCCGATGGTATAAACCTGGAAGTCCCATTGCCGATGGCGCAAACCTGGAAGAGTTAGTGCCTATTCCTACACCCACAGGCCTCAGGAATGTTACAACATAAAAACACAAAACACCACATGTTAAAAGGGCATTAGATGTCAATCAGCCAAAGGCCTGGTTAAAAAGGTGCGGATTTGACTGGCTCCTAAAGCTGTATAATGGTTTTTCCAACCTTTGTATGGATTCTTTTATGGGAAGTGAGTTTCAAGCTATCAGTGAAGCTTTTTCCACATTCCAAACACTGATAGGGTTTCTCCCCTGTGTGAATTCTTTGATGGCAAGTGAGACTGTATTTCTTACTGAAGCTCTTTCCACATTCCACACACTGATAGGGTTTCTCCCCTGTATGAATTCTTCGATGGGAAGTGAGATTGCGGCTGTTACTGAAGCTGTTTCCACATTCCACACACTGATAGTTTCTCTCTTGTATGAATTCTCTGATGCAAAGTGAGATGAGAGCTGTTCCTGAAGCTCTTTCCACATTCCCCACACTGATAGGGTTTCTCCCCTGTATGAATTCTTTGATGGGAAGAAAGATGCGAGCTTTTCCTGAAGCTCTTTCCACATTCCACACACTGATAGGGTTTCTCTCCTGTATGAATTCTCTGATGGGAAGTGAGACTGCTGCTGTGAGTAAAGCTCTTTCCACATTCCCCACACTGATAGGGTTTCTCCCCTGTATGAATTCTTTGATGGGAAATGAGACTGTGGCTGTGACTGAAACTCTTTCCACATTCCGCACACTGATAGGGTTTCTTCCCTGTATGAATTCTTTCATGAGAAGTGAGATAGGAGCTTGTACTGAAGCCTTTTCCACATTCCACACACTGATAGGGATTTTCCCCTGTATGAATTCTTTGATGGAAAGTGAGACTGGCACTCTGACTAAAGCTTTTTCCACATTCCACACACTGATAGGGTTTCTCCCCTGTATGAATTCTTTGATGGGAAGTGAGACTGGCTCTCTGACTGAAGCTCTTTCCACATTCCACACACTGATAAGGTTTCTCCCCTGTATGAATTCTTTGATGGGAAGTGAGACTGGTGCTCTGACTAAAGCTCTTTCCACATTCCACACACTGATAGGGTTTCTCCCCTGTATGAATTCTTTGATGGGAAGTGAGACTGTATTTCTTACTGAAGCTCTTTCCACATTCCCCACACTGATAGGGTTTCTCCCATGTATGAATTCTTTGATGGGAAGTGAGTTTGGAGCTTTCAGTGAAGCTCTTACCACGTTCCACACACTGATAGGGTTTCTCCCCTGTATGAATTATTTGATGGGAAGACAGATTGGCTCTCTGACTGAAACACTTTCCACATTCCACACACTGATAGGGTTTCTCCCCTGTATGAATTCTTTGATGGGAAGAGAGATGGGCTCTCTGCCTGAAACACTTTCCACATTCCACACACTGATAGGGTTTCTCCCCTGTATGAATTCTTTGATGGGAAGAAAGATGCGAGCTCTTCCTGAAGCTCTTTCCACATTCCACACACTGATATGCTTTCTTCCCAATGTGATTTCTTTGATGGGAAGTGGAATAGGAACTTTCCCCACATTCAAGATATTTATTCAGCTTCTCCATTGTGTGGATTTTGTCATGGTCACCCTTGTTCTTGATTTCCAGTCCATCACTATCTGCAATGAAGAGAAATGGATTAGCGCCTCAGAGAGAAATTAAGGAAGAATACTTGTTAACTCTGGTAATAGAGGCATAACACAAGTGGGTTAGATGGATGGTTTTCTGAAGGGTTGCTTGCATTAATTAACGGGGATCAACCGACGTCCTTAGGGGAACCTGTGATTCGATAAGCCTGGCTCTTCTCTTGAATGAATTTTGTTTGGCTCCATCATGGCATCCCTCCATTTCCAATGTCAGTCTCCTCTTTCGACAACCAAAGACTAACGGGAGGAGAAACAAAAAGTGAAAACCTGACAGAAGCTACTTCAACTTCCCTAAAACTCTGAAGTTTACAGTTAAAATGGCCTGGGGAGTTCAGACCAGACTGATCCTTGTTTAGAAGCTGCAATATTGTAATCCCAGGTGTCCTAAGGGGGCATTGTTGAGTTCTGTGAAAATACATGAGGTTCATCACAGAGAGCTGCTTTGAATTTAAAAACAGATATTCTGATTGCAAAGAGATCCTTACCAAGAGTGGCCACGATCCCATGATTCTCCTCCATGACATCTTTATGCAGAGCTCTCTGGTTAGGATCCAGCAACTCCCACTCCTCATCTGTGAAACGAATAGCAACATCTTCAAAGCACACTGGACCCTAAAAGAAAAAGGGAAATGTCCTCCTATGAGACAATAATATTGTTCACCACCACGTCCTGATCTACGACATTGTTCTGCTCCTTGAACTCTGTCCCCACAAGGCAGCTTCCCCTGACCTGATCTGGATCCACAGCCACTGCTTCCTTTTTGTCCCCAAGAAAAGATGGATGAAGAGGTCTTGCGGGCATCATTCTGTCACCTGCAAGAGGAAAAAGGTAAGGGGGAGGCCCAGAGTGCCTGCTTCTCTCACAGGTGAATCAGTGCATCTAAACTACACAGGGGCCTTTGAGAAAGTCTTGCCTGCTGAGTGCATTTGGATATTTGGGTGCATTTCAGATGTTAGTTGTGAAAAAATATATCTCCCCTCCTCTGGGCTCTTAGCCCCAACTATCTCCTCCATCAAAAGATGAAAAGAACCCACAGATGAGTTGGAAAACCAACAGAATGAGAGTAAATGGAGAAAAAGCTCCTTCCTCCTTACCCAGTGGCCTCTCTCTGGTGTCCAACGGAGGCCTCTCTGCCTCACAGGAATCCAGGTCCATTTCTGCAAAGAGAACCTTTCCCTGAAAGAGAAACAAGGATTCAAAACAGAGAATGACGAGGATTATAAAATGAATGTCAGGGCCAAAAACCTGACGGGTGTTAGATCTCATTTCATGGATGCCTTGCAGAAAAAGAATGGGCCATCAGCAGAACATTATGGGATGTGTTCTGTCCTGTTTGGAGGCCTTGGGAGTATCCAGAGGAAAGTCTCTCTCACCTGCTTTCTCTCCTCTGCCTGACTCAGGAGAAAACCTTCGGCCAGGGCCACCGCCTGGGAACTGGTCTCCGCTCCACACTCTCTCACCCAGCTCTCCATCTCCGGAGGAAGGACAGCTAGGAACTGCTCCAAGATCACCAGGTCCAGCATCTCAGCTTTTGTGTGCCTTTCTGGCTTCAGCCACTGATGGTCAAGGTGGTAGAGTCGGCTGCAAACCTCTCGGGGTCCTTTGGCCTCCTGGCAGCAGAACTGCCTCAACTGCTGGCTCTGCACCTCTGAGCAGAGGGTGTCCTCCTCACCCAGGATCTTCTGCACAGAGTTTTCCCAGAATTCCCCACTGCTCCCAGTTTGGTTGCCATGGCCTCTTCCTGTTCCAGGGGCAGCTGAGCCTTGGTCATCCATCTGTGCTCTCAGGAAGCCTCTGAGAGATCGGAAGGAACCCTTTGGTCTTCTGCCAAGTTCTGTCTGTCGTAGTGAAACGCTTTAGGAAATCCTACAAAGCAAATACATTGTTCTGCTATAAAGTTTATACACCCTCCTCTCTCTCTTTTCCCCCTAATCACCCAAGAATCCTGCAAAATCCCTTTGTCAATAAATACAGTACGGGGGGGCATTTCAGATTTTTTTGGCAGCAATGCCAAAATTGTTAGGAAACCAGACAAAGAGGCAGAAGAGTCTACGAGCACCAACAAGAGTAATGTAAAACCTCAGGGGAAAAATGTTAATCCACCAACTTTCTTAAACTTGCAGTGAGAACATCCATGGCTGAGGATGTTCTCTGATGTTTTGGTATGCCCTGACTGCCAAGAATTTGCCTGGGCCAAGGACACAGGTTTTGTGAGAGGCAGAGCAGCATAAAGGAATGAAACAGGGTGTATATATTTATATTTTGAAATTTTGTACATCTGTTGAATGTGCCATTTTTGTGATCTGGAAGGAAGTGGGTGAAATCTAAGAGGAGTCAGTCAGTGAATAAAACTCTCAGGCTCCTTTAAGACCAGATGCGCTGAGTCCATGTTCTCTGCTTAAGGTGATGTTTTATTCTCTGGGCTTGGTCTGACTTGTGAAACCCATTTCCAGATTGTTTTATTCAGTGCTGTGATATCTTGCAAACTGCTATGAATTTTTTTCTTTAAAACATAAAGCAGTATAGGAATGAAATAATGACGATAATGAATTGCATTTTTCTTACCTTTTAGGATAATTAGGCTGTGTCTGCTACTCACCAAGAAGTTGGTCATGCTAAATCTGCCAGGTCAAAACCTAGGTCAGTCCCAATGGCACAGGCAATAAAAACAATGGAGAGTGATTTGCACATTGCACTTTTCGTTGCAGGACTTCCCATTGTAGCCTTATTGGAGTTCACCGATTGGGTCTGCGTTGCTCTGGGACAGGAGGAAGGAAGTCAAAATGACACCGAGTTGGTTCAAAGAAAGAGTTTATTCTGCTCTCCGGAAAGCAGAAGGCACTTGCGTGATTAGTCCACAGCAAGTCCAAAGAAATGACAAGTTTCATGCAGTTTATATATCCTCCAGGCACCCTCTCACTCCTCCCCTAGGAGCCCAACCATGTCGGCCTACGTATACAGGTTGAGATCACATATGTTCCTGCTCTGGTACTCTCAACCATAAACGGATCTTCCTTCCTGTACTTCTGACCATAAAAGGATCTTCCTCTTCCTACTCTTATCTGGGAAGAGGTCATAATCTCCGGGAACACGCTTTTGGCGTTTTTCCTGGACATTGGTCTTGTGAGTATTTTGTGGTCAGCACATAAGATAAAGTTCTGACGTGTTTTCTTTGTTCCCCTGCAGAGTCAAGGCCATTCCTTGCCGTGATTGATAAAGAAGAGAACTGTTTATGCAGTTGTGTCCTTATTATGGTTTTGCTGAACAGTTCAAGTTTTACACATTTAAAAGTGCTCTCTTTTGAAAGAATTTGAAAGATTTCATCTTCCTCAAAGGGTTAACTTCCTGCCCATGAGGAGATGGCCAAGAAATTATCCCAAATTACCAAACTCTCCAACATTTATCCAGTCAAAATGCATATGTGGACCTGAGTGAAAACTATCTACAGTATCCCCTGCTGGCCCGGGGTGAGGACTTCAGTACATAACAATAATAATAATACTTTCCCACTGGTCTGACTGGGCTGCCCAAGCCACTCTAGGCAGCTTCCAACATTTACAAAAACATATTGAACATCAAAAATTACTTTCCTATAGAGGGCTGCCTTCAGACGGCTCAACGGTTGGATAACTCCATACCCTCCAACTTTTATCCAAGGGAAAAAGGGGCATCCTAAGCAAAAGAGGGACATTCGGGCATCAAATCAGGAACTGGGACCCCTTCTCTAAATCCAGGACTGTCCCCGTGAAATAGGGACACTTGGGGGGTCTGCATCACGGACCCCATTCTTTCCCCACAGGAGAAAGGGAATGTAGTCTACAAGTAACTACAGAGAAGAAGAACTGAGCAAAATAACAGAAGCATTGCCTAGCAATGCGAAAGTTGACAAGAAAGCCATCATGGAGGAATTTTGGGGTTTTAAAGACAAGCTGGGCAGGGTTTCCAAGCAGAGTGTGCAGCTTCTGGCTCATATCTTAATCTATGCAGAGTTCTGAACTTCTTGCAGCTTCTCCCACTTAGTACTGCAGAATGAAAAATGGGGGGGGGGGCAGCTAAATCTGGTGAAAACATCCAGAATCACTTGCTTGTCACTACCAGTGATGAATGTGATACAGCAGCAAAAGAAAAAGAAAAAAGCTAGCGCTATTCTAGGCTGCATCCACAGAAGTCTAGAGTCCAGATAATGGGAAGTCATATTCCTGCTCTATCCTGCCTTGGTAAGAGCTCATTTGGAGTCCTGTATCCAATTCTGGGCACCACAATTTAAGGAGGATGTTGACAAGCTGGAAGGTGGGAAGAGGAGGGTGACCAAGATGATCCAGGGTCTGGAGACCAAGCCTTATGAAGAGAAGTTGAAGGAGCTGGGTAAGTTTAGCCTGGAAAAGGGACTGAGACTGAGAGGAGGTAGGATAGCTATCTCCAAGTATATTCAGGAAGAGGGAGCATGCTTGTTTTCTCCTGCTCTGGTGTATGTGCCCCTGCCTTGTGCTGGGCCCTTCCTCCGGCAAGTCACTCACTCGGCCCAGCCTGGCCTGTCCAGCATGCATGTGTCCAGCAACCCACATCCAGTGGAGCTGAGGGCATGCTAATGCAATAACAGAGTATCAGCAAAAAGTGAGGCCGTGGAGACATTTGGCATCACGAAAGCTTCTTTATTTACAAAGCAAAACAACAAACATGGCTAGTGTGAGAAGCAGCTTCACACACGTCTTCTCTGTCCAAAAGCAGAGAACAAAGAGCATAAAACCAGAAGCACATAATACAGAAGTACAGTGTCTGAGTTCCATTCCCACACTCCTATCACAAAGTAATAGGATCACGAGATCCAACAGCAATGAGAAAGTGAAATAACTAACATCTGGTGGCAGGACTCGAACCAATGGCTTCAAGGTGCAAGAAAGGTGTTTCCAACTAAACATCGGGAATAACTATCTGACAGAAAGAAATGTTTGACAGTGGAACTCTCCTTCCTTGGAGGCCTTTAAGCAGAGGTTGGATGGCCATCTGTCACAGTCATTTTGCTGAGATTCCCTTCCAACTCTACAGTTCTATGATTCTCTCAATAAGCAATAACGCTTATTGTCAGTCCACCTCCTCGTTCAGCTTTGGAAAATCATTTGCACGTTTCCTCTGTTGTGTGTCAGACATCTCCAGAGCATACACACCAGAAGAGAAAGTGTGCAGCTGACCCCAAGAGCACCAGGAGGGGGAAGAACTGATGCAACTGAGTGCTGCCAGGGGAGGGCGCTTTCCTGGAGCCTTGCCAGCAGAGAGGGGACAACGCCGAAAAGAGTGGTTGGGGTTTGTCTGTGGCTCAGCAGTACATATAGTGTGGCAGTGTGCAGCCAGAAAGAACCAAGGAGCCTTATCAGGGATGAGCATAGAACCCAGGCAAGGGTGCACGGAACCACTGCCAGGAAACAAACTGTCCCAGCCCATTCAGGAGGCCATGGGTTGGGAGAAAATGCAATAGACGGGCCTCCGCCAGGACCTGTGATTCTGGGAATTACAGTGGGGCAGCGAGCAAGTGTGTATGCTCATAGACTCTGGAGCATCGACTCACTTTATAGATGTGAACTTAGTGAAGAGGTTGGGGTTGGTGATAATGAAATTATTATTCATAAAATAATCCCAAACAGTTTGCTGAAAAAGAGAGAGATTTATAAGCCACTAGTCAAAGCCTTGAAGACAAAAGCGATAAACTACAAGTGGGAATTCCCAGAAGGCATCTTGTTCTTCTTTCAAGGAAGGAGAAGAAGTGTCTATCTGCTTTGGATGTTGATAAGTTCTATAGAAAATACTGGAGAGAGCTAGGGGGGAAGAGACAGCTGCAGGGAGAGGTGGATGAGCAGGATACAACAAGTGTAACTGGCGAAAACTAATACATAGGCACCTAGTTTCCTTTTTATTATTGTAAACTAAACTCAGAATAAAGTGTGGAATTTAAAATCATATCATAGAATGTGAATGGACTCAATGAGAAATCCAAAAGAAATAAGGTGGCATACATATTGGAAAAACAAAAACAAGTTATAATATGTCTCCAAGACACTCATGTAGCTAAGAAGCATAATAGAGTATTAATAAACAAGAAATAAGGGTTGGAATTTATTTCATAAAAAAAAAAGAGGTGTGGTCATTTACGTGAAACCAAAATTTGATCCTAAACTACTCTATAAGGATGAAGAGGGAAGAACACTAATTGTGGAGGTACAATATAAAGCTGAAAAAATAGTGGTTATTGGGATATATGCTCCAAATGAAAAAAAAAGGTGCAGTTTTACCAACTGTTGCAGGAAAAAAACAATGGACTATCTGGGCCAGAAAATATATTGATGGGTGACCTTAATGGGGTTGCAGAACTGGAACTGGACAAAACAGCTAAAAACCCCCAGAAAGTAAGCAGAGTAAATTACCAAATACTTTTTTTCCAGTTAACTGACCTCCTAGGCTTGAACAATACCTGGAGGTTTAAGCACCCTACGAATAAGGAATTTACTCATTTTCTGATGCCAAAACATCTGCTGGAAGAATTCATGGGATTTGGACTACTAAGAATTTGTTCACTGAGGTTAAAAAAGCTAAAATCCAACCCAGAACTATCTCGGACCATAACCCAGTCCAACTTATCTTAAAAGGGAAAGAAAAGAGTGTAAGGAAATGGCACAAGAACGAAAAATTGCTAAAAGATGAAAAAAAATTCTACAAGCGGCTAAGCAAACGTTAAAGGACTACTTTGAATTAAATTTAAACCAAGGAACAGACATTAAAATAGTCTGGGAGGCGAGTAAAGCTGTACTGTACTTTGATGCTCATCAAAGGAAAATGAAAGAAAGGGGGAAAAAACCTGAAATATGGGAGGAAATAAGAACGAAAAAGAATTATTCAATAACTCAGATAATGAAAACATCAAACAAAACATCAAAGTCCTTCAAATACAATTCTCGATGGTTGTTAATGAGGAATTAGAATGCAAAATCAAATGGCTAAAATACAGATGTTTGGAATTTGGAAATAAGCCAGGCAAGCTCCTAGCCTGGCAATTAAGGAAGAAAGGAGGTGAGAGAATTATCAATAAGATCAAGGTAGACAATAAGTGGATTGATGATCCAAAGGAAATCAATAGAAACTTTTAGAGAGAGTTTCTATTATATTATAGAGAGCTATATTTTAAAAGTCTGGAATAAACATAAAAAATTGTAGAATTTTTGGAGAACAATAATCTACCTGTAATTCCAAAAGCCATACTCGCCTTATTAAATTCACCCATTACGGCCCTTGAAGTCCAACAAGCGATACAAGATCACAAACAGGAAAGACCCCTGGCTCGGATGGACTCCCAGCAATATATTATAAAAAGCTGGAAGAAATATTATTTCTACCCCTTAAGGACATGATGAACGATATATTAGGCAACAGGATTTTACCTAATTCCTAGAAAGATCAGAGCCAGCAAATATTGCTAATTAGAGACCGATCGTACTCCTAAATAATGATTTTAAATTTTTCTCAGATATTTTGGAATCTAGGCTTAAAATAACCCTTCAAGAAGTCATTCACAAAGACCAGACCAGGTTCCTTCCAGGACGACACATGCAAGACAACCTCAGATATGTTATCAATATCTTAAGAGTATCTCGATTTTAAAATAGATAAGCCGGCCATTATAATGTTGATTGACGCAGAAAAGGCATTTGACAACATTTCATAGAAGTTTATGAAAGAGCTGTTGGAAAAAAATGGACTTCGGAGATACTT